TACCTGAGCAAAATCTTAATTTTTTTTTTTAGTTACACCCTGTTCAAACCCTTTGTAGATCTGACGCTTAAAATTTTTGAATTACAGTCTTAGCCCATAAAGGAAGACTTTTGAGGGAGACCATGGCTGATCTACACTGAAAGGATATATTGGCATAACTACATCAATAAGGAATTGAAGTAAACCTCACACCCCTGACCGATATAGGTATGCTGATAAAAACCCCAATGTAGACGTAGTTATGTTGACAGAAGAGGGCTTCCATCGACATAGCTTTATTCAGGAAAGTGATGTTCCTGTACTGACAGAAAAACTCTTTCTGGTCAGCGTAGGCTGAGTCTTTTCTATGGGGCTATGCTCGTGTGGTCTTTATAGTGTAGACTTACATTGTGTCACAGGGTTGCAATATTGAGTATTTTATAGCTTCAGGCTTTATTAAAGTGCTGACCATGATTACTATGCATTACTTTATTAAACTGTCTCTTTATTAACTGGGACTGTCTGTACAAACTGATAACTTTTATATTACCTTTCACTGAAAGATTTCAACATTTTTTTAAAATATTAATCCTCTACATACTTGTGAGGTTGCTTCCTGTTTTACTGAGGTGCAGAAAGGCTGTCATTTACTTAAGAGTCACACTGGAAATGCTTTGAGGAATTTGGTATAGAACTCAGAAGTCTTGGCTTCCCTTCCCCATGCTTGAGTAGTGGAAAACATTCACTACACAATTTTCTTTATTTTCTCTTAACTTTCTAAAACAAAAATGCACCTTATATTTTGCCTCTTCTACCTTTTTGCTTTAAAAATATTTAATATTTTGTAGTGTAGAAGTATACTTTAAACTGCAAAATTAGTTCATTTTTGAGATTCTTAAAACACCTTTTTTTCAATAAGATCATTTCCACATAATAAGTGTTTTTATGAGCCCTGAGTTGTGCAAATCATCTGAAGTTGTCTTATTAGTTCTTTGTGTGTATTGTGGTAAATTATAGTAAACTGGGATATTGGAGTTGTAAGTTGACAAGAATAATCTGGAATCATGATGGTAAAGTACAAGTTCAGAGAAAACAGGAAGAAATACAAGGAAAACAAGGACAATAATTTTGAAATACGAATTTTGTTAAACTTATCTAATTTTGACCTCTGTCTTCACAGCATTGTTTAAATGGGCAGCAGTATGGACACCAATGTAATTTGATTTTACTGAATCATTAAAATCATCTTTCTAAATAGCACAGATTTCATTAGTTAGTTTTAGAGTGATACATTCCTCCAGCATTTAGAAAACAATTGCAAATTCAGTAGTTTACGTGAATCACAGTTAGTGAGAACATGTGACTGATAGAGATTTTTTGCCTATGGCACACAATATTTTGAGACTGCTTAGCCACCAGTTGTGTTGGTCGTCAGGTGAAGATATCAGTGTTTTTAGTGTACATTGTTTTAAAAATTGTTAAATTAAAACAAGAAAAGTACAAAGCTAGGAAACTCAGAATTAAGCTCAGTTTCATGTGAGATCATACTCAAAAGACTATTCTAATCTTAACTTTGCCTCATTAGAGTTGCAAACGTAGTATTCTCTAGTTGAAGCAGCAAATACTGCAGTTTTTCTTCTTTGCTTACACTGGCCATTTTACTTTATGGAATGCTTGATATTCGTGTCAGTGTGAGATTTCACTTCTGTTGCCTTTCTACAGAGGTGAGGTAGTAGTAGTTAGGATGTGGTTCTGTGATTTGTGGAAATGCAACCTTAACTTTGAAATTCCTGGGGTTTTAATGTTAATTTCATTTTTACTCTTTGAAATATAATGTACTCTCTGATTATTGATATGTGCAGTGGCGCTGGAAGATATTTATTAGTGGGGGTGATGAAAGTCAGCCACCTTACCCCTGTTTGCCCTCCCCGCCCCCAGAGCTGGGGCCGGGAGTAGGTTTCTGGAAGGGGGGAGACATGGACAAGGGAAAGGTGGCCGAGGTTGGGGCTGGCTGCCGGGACCCTTGGGTGCAGGGCTAGCAGCCGGGACCCCACATAAAACCTGGGGGTGCTGCACGCTGTGGATATGTGTCTGCTAACTTCAGTATTATTCCTTGGCCCAAATTTTTGTTCATGGCATGGGAGGCAGAGCTTTTCACAATACAGGAAAGTACCAAAGTGACTTTATGGTCTCAACTGTGATTTTAGTGAGTTGCCTTCAGCAGCAGTTCTTTGGAAGAAAATACTGTTTTCTTAAAGTGCGTGTAGAATATGTGACAGTGATGCAAATGTAAGATATTCCACAGTTTGATTATTTGAAATATAATTAATCCATAGCATACAGGGAGATTCTGTTTTATCCTCTTAACCAATGGGTCTAACATAGTCTTTGTGCCTCTTTGTGGTAATTTATAAATTGTCTTCCATGTTTTTTGGGCATTCAGTGATATTCTAACAAGGGAGACTTCATTGATGTCAAATAAATGACATCTCATGCTCTTGTGATATTCCCCCATCACATTTTAAACCTGTGTCAGCATGAGAATGTCATGGCTCTATACTCTGCACGGGGTGAATACATAGTGAAGTGCACACTGTGACTAGTCGCCTCTTTCTGTCGCTGCTTATTAACTGTGGGATGATTTGTGGCATGGTTGCACCATTTTCAACACGTGGCTAAAAGAATAGGATATTTGTGACAGTCATCTTAAAATATGTGTAGGGGTCAATTTCAAAAGGTATTTTGGATTGGAAAGTAGGAGAAGGTTACAAACCCAATACTGTGACTATTTTGACCCCTTTCTTTGTCATATGTATCAACTAATAGGTCTTCAGAATATGAGTTGTATCCAAGTTCAGGTTTTTTGTACTGAATTACACAAGCTGGGTATCGAAGAGACAAGGCGGGAGAGGTAATATCTTTTATTGGACTACTTTCTGCTGGTGAAAGAGACGCACAGCTCTTCTTCAGATCTGTGTAGCTTGGAAGCTTGTCTCTGTCACCAACAGAGGTTGGCCCAATAAAATATATTACCTCATCCATCTGGTTTCTCTGATATCTTGGGGCCAACATGGTTACAAAGACACTGCAAACAAGAAGTTACACTGTAGTACACAATAATACACTGTAGTACACAATTAATATCGGAGAAGTTAAATCTGTTTTCCACTGCTCTTCTGTTACTTTGTCTTATGTTATCCTGCAGTTCAGTTGATAATGGGAGGGTTGGGGGAGAAGTATCTTCAAAAGTTTACAGTATTAATGCATGGTTTTCCAAGACTTAGGTAATTGTCTATTTGTAATGGTTTGGTCCTTAAAAATAAATCATTTGTTCATGTGTGATAGTAAAATATTTAAATGTCTGACTTTGTTGCCCTTTCAGTTTGTGTGCATCCACTGCAAATCTTTCTAACCATGAGGATTTGTTGTTGGTAATTGGCTTGTTAGTAGATGTGTGAAAATTTGCAAGTTACTGTAGTGAACATAACCTTGAGATTTTTCTCACCTATTCATCAGCATCTCCATACTTGTGAAATAATCCTTTTGGGAAATTAAATTGTAGTGTTGGATGAAGATACCAAAAACATGATTTATTTTTATATGGCACTGAAAAGCATGATAGTGCTTCAAAGGCATACAATAGCTCCTGTCCCAAAGAAGTTACAATCTAAATAAAAACCAGTGGCCAGAAGGGTGCAATACATGGATTTTTATTTTCCCCTCTCATTCTTTCTTACATTCCTTTTTATTTTAGTCCTTAGCTATTTGTCTTTATTAGTTTAATATAAACCTTAGTCTTTCTATTTAAATTTTTATTTTTAAGCCTTTTTTTCATTTTGTTTTTTTATTCCTTCATTTTATCTTTTTAATTTTTTTCTTTAGGCATCCTCATCCTTGTAGTATCGGAGTATTTTTAATCCGTAGCTCCAATTCTTACCTAATTGTTTTAATCTTTCCATATATTTTTTAGCATATTGTGGCAAAATGACGTCTGCAGTAGAATACCTATTCTTAATCCTTCCCTAGCTGACCACTTTACTAGCAAGTTTGATAAGATTTGTTGCCTGTGTATTTTGATTCTATAAATTATATTAGTTGTGGCTCAACTATAAGCTCTTTGAGGCGTAGGGCCTGTGTTTATGTGTGTTGAGGAGCTCTAAACAACAGTGTTGCAAGAGACATGATTTTAATTTTGAAATAAATTGCAGCTAAAAAAGTAACCTTAATTTTTGATTCCAACAGTCAGAGCTTGAATAATGATGGAAAATTTATTTTTCAGATTGACTGCTTGTTCAGAAGGTGAAATAACACCAAACAACCTTAAGCAAGTCACCTTGCTTATATAAATTTTATAAAGAGCTTAATTTAAAGGGTTGTCACATATCTATGGCCAAATATTTGAAAAAGTTTTACCTTTTTAAAAAAAATAGGTTAAATTTCTCAAAACCCAAGATGATGATTCTTAGAAATGAATTTTTTGGGTGCTCCAGTTTTTGACTGCTCAACTGTAGACACCTTGGAAAAGACTGATTTTTTCAGAGAGTGTTGAGCACCCTATGAAAATTTTTAAAGATGTCCAAGTGGAGGACCCAAAATCACTGATCACTTTTGACTCTTGGCCATAGGTTCTGTGAAACAGCTCAAATGCTTAATTTACAGTCATCCCTTGATTTTGCTTGGTAAGACAGTAATAGACAGGATGTCTGATTAGAGAGAGATGAATTGGTTCATCTTTACAAGATTTACTTTGAACTTGCAAACACTATCTTTGATGTGAAATTATCTGTAACTTTGTTTCATATTCTCTGTGTATATATAAAGTCTGCTGCAGTTTCCACGGTATGCATCCGATGAAGTGAGCTGTAGCTCACGAAAGCTCATGCTCAAATAAATTGGTTAGTCTCTAAGGTGCCACAAGTACTCCTTTTCTTTTTGCGAATACAGACTAACACGGCTGTTACTCTGAAACCTTTGAAAATATTGAAGGCACCAAATTATTTCAATATTTCTTTTTATTTTAGGATTTTGTAACAAGAAGCAGCAACCTTTTCATCGAGTGGAAGACGAAACAGTGGAAAAGAACTCTGTACCATGTGTTAGTATATTGAAGAGTGAGAATTCTTGGATTAGTGTGTTTTTGGATTGTAAAAAGGGAAAGGAAAGGAGAGAGTGAAAATGGGGAGGAAGAAAATACAAATCACAAGAATAATGGACGAACGGAACAGACAGGTGAGAAACGAAGCTTCCACATGAACAAGTTCATGCTTAATTCTTTTTAAAATGGGAGTGGAAAAGTTGTACATTGGTTTTCACCTGAGTAACATAAGTTTTTTCTGGACTCTGGGCTTTGTCTTTCTGTGTCTGTGGATAGCACATTGAAGGCCATTACCAGAATACAGATTATTATTAATGTTTGAATTTAAATAATTGCAATATTTATTTGGCAAGAAATAGTTGTCAATTTGTTTTACAATTGCTGTATAACTAATAGCCCTGCTAAAATGGTATACTGGGACTTGCATGCTGATTGACTGGTTTGAAGATGTTTGGAAAAATCTGTTTTTCTTTATCCTACTGCGATTTGGTTGAAAGAACAACCCTTGTAGTTAATTATCTTGTACCTGCCATTGTTTGTGTCTCCTTACTACACTAATTCAGAAAGGTTGTGTTGAAACTATTCGCTGCTGCCTGTAGGTGAAACAAATGTATCCAATCATAAACTATGATTTTAGATATTGTGCTGATCCCTGCGTACATGCATATGATTGCAAGTTGTGCCTCTGAAATAAACAACTCCACGGGATAATTTCCTCAAAAATTGAAGGGTGAAAAAGCCATGACTACAAATAAAAGTATGTTGAACTGTGTGTGCTTTGCTTCTGAGAATGGTATAGTGAAAGTAGATTAGTTACTTCTGTTCACACTTTTCTATAATAAAAGAACATGGAAGCATTCAATGAAATTGAAAAGGTGACAAATAGAAGACTGATAAAAGGAAATTCTTTTTCCACACACAGTTAGCTTGTGGAGTTCATTGCCATGTCATGTCACTGAGGGAAAAGTAGGATTGAAAAGGGGATTAGACATTTGTATGAATAACAGGAATATCCAGAAGTATCATAGTTATATGCCTGCAGGATTTCTGGCACCTCTTTTCATGCATATGCTACTAGCTACTGTAGGTAAAAGAATACCATGTTAGATGGATCACTGGTCCGAATCAGTATGGTAGGCTTCTAGGTAGGCGGTAGGTTCTGAACCTGGGGAAGAGTGAGTAGGCCTTTCAGGCAACCCTTGCAGCTTGCCTGCATGGGAAACTTATACTGACATAACGTAAATTGTGAATTTTAATTTACCTGCTGTAGTTTTACAGGTATAACTCCCATATGGACATTCTTAGTCTGGTATGAAAGGGACTTTTTCCGGTTAATTTTGTCACTTTCTGGAGGTGCTTTAAGCTAAACTGAAAAAGCCACATTTATTTTTGAATAAGATTGTCCACACAGAGTGTTTATACCAATATAACTGTAATGACTTAACTATAATGGAACAAAAATTCTCACGTAGGTGAGCCCTAAGGTGAGATCCAGTTTCAACTCTAGTCTCCTCCTCACCGTGTTGCTACCCTAGATATCCTCAAGAAATCACACAGTTTCATAAATCAGCCTAACACTACACTATAAAACTGAAGCTGAAAATTCTTGTTCAAGCTATGATTGGTACAACTTGTTACATAGTGTGTTCCAGTTAAACACTTCAGTTCAGGTTGTGTCTTTTGTGGTATTTTCCCCAACCCAGTTGGGGTTCTGTGAAAGGGTTGGGTGTTAAATGAGGAGAACGCACACATTCATATTCACAGTTGCACTAGAGTTTTTTTTAACTATTCTGATTTTTAGGGGTTCATCTAGGATTCTTGTAAACTTTTTTGGATAGCCCTAGACATAAACATTACAAATAAATTACACTGACCATAAATAGCAAGGATGGTACCATCTGAATGTGAACAAAAGCCAAAGGTTGTGTTTGATTAGCTGCAGTCACACAACTGTTATATGTTTAGATGTAGATAAATCACTTAAGTACACATATTGAAGTACACTAATAACTTCTGGCTGTTCATTTTGATTTTGTTCATCTTGTTTGAAATCCTGGAGGAGTTCTCAGTTAACTTACATCTCAGTTCTTGCTATCAAATTTGTGCCAACCAACCTTGCTTCTTGTATAACCATGAATAAGCCATACTCTCAATCCTAATACTTTTCTGGGTTCTTTACCTCAAAGGCAATGCAATCTAAGATTTATTGTTACATGGGAGACCGGTTGGCTCCTGCCTTCTTGTATTGCTTGTGTTCCAAACATTAGCCACTTGTATGTTTGCCTTTGTTGATGCTAAATATAGATGGTTAAGCTCTGACTCTGGGATTAATTCCCTAGCTGATCTGTTGGCTTGGCTCTCCAATTGGGTCTAATGCTGTTTGTACTAGTGATTGGGAAGATGTATTAGGCTTTGGTGCAAGGCTGGACTCTGACTTGATTTCTCCTCGTTCCACAGAAAATCAAAGCTCCATGCTAAAGTAACTCTTGTAGTCAGGCAACGCAGTTCACCTACATCATCTTCCATCTCATACCAGTGTGCCATATGAAGCGTAGAATATATGATATATATTAATTTGGTTTCTGAATAAGCCATTTCTTTGACCTAAATAATGAAGGAATCTAGGTCTCATTTTACTGTAACCTGAGAGCGTAATGCAGTAGTTAACTGTCATGTTTGTGTTTTTTCTCTATCATAACTAGCTAGCAAACCATTCATGAACATGCATATTAAATCCTGATGTGGCTGTTTAATGCATTTTCATTTAGAAACATTGAGTAGAGCATAGTAGTGCTTTACTTACATGACCTGATTTTATAAATTCACAGGGGAGAAAATCCTTGGTCTCTTCAAAAGTGTTTCCTTTTATATAGGATTATAACTGAGCTCAAAACAGAATATACCGAACTAACTATTACTCAGGGGGATTATAATTAACATGAGATGCTCATTGTAGTAATTAAGAACACTTATCTGCTTACATGAGCTATAGGGCATTTATATTCATTAAGCTGAAGAGAATAAAGTGCAGTAAATTAGATGTCAAACTGAACATTACTTTTGTTATCAAACCTCTTCACTAATCAATACCGGAATCACTTTGAAGAACCTGTTAACCTTCCTGTGTTAAGAAAGTATGAACATGTTTTGTGGAATATTTATGATTTGTAAACATCAGAAAAACAGATCACTTTTTTTAAAAGGACACTTAAAAGTAAGGAATTAGTATTCTGCCATTTCAGATTTATTATTACAAGTTGAATCTTTACCTATTATTTATTATTTGCATGACAGTAGTGCCTAGAGTGCTAGGCATTGTACCAACACATAGTAAGAGATGGTCTTTACCTTGAAGAGTTGGTAATTTAAGTTGCAAAGGTAGTGGGTGAGACGGTAAAAAAAGGTGAAGTGACTTGCCCAAGGCCATATGTGGGAATTTATCTACTGAGCCACATAGCCTCTCAAGGCAATGCAAATATTCCCAAACGCTGGTGAGCTTGCCTTCTGTCTGACAAAGAGTAACAGCAGAAAGATACAGACCTGCTGTTTTTCTGGTAATCTTCTTTGCAGTGTCAGACGAAGAGGTACTGGAACAAATTACATTTTAAAAAAAGTAGTGTCACTGGGCCAGGAACTGTAAATTCCATAGTTCTGAAAGAGCTGAATTATGAAGTAGTTGAACTCCTAGAAAAAGTACACAATATCTTATTAAAAACAGCTATTGTATTGGAGAACTGGAAGGTAGCAAAAGTTATGCCTATATTAAAAAAGGCTATAGGGTAATCTGAAGAATTACAGACCAGTAAGTCTTACATCTGTATCTGGTACATGGGTTGAAATGATCATTGAAAAATACAGTAATAAAACAGTTGGAAAATCATGATGTGCTAAGAGTCCATCCAGCATGGTTTTTGTAGGGAAACATCCTGTCTCACCTACTAGAAATTTTTGAACATGTCAATAATTTACTGGATAAAGGAGAACCATCTGACATAATTTAATTAGACTTTAGAACCGGGGGGAGCCTCTACTACAACACAGCCAGCTAAAACAGCTTCCAGTGTATTATGCTGTATTTTAACAAGGCTTTTCATCAGTTGAGTTAAGGTACAGGCAGTCCTCGACTTTACTACGTTTGAGTTATGACAAACGGCACTTACAACGCTTCCACAATGACACCCTGATTCGACTTACGACTGTAGGTTTTGAGGTTATGATGCTTGGTCCCACAGTGGAGTAGATTGCAGTTTGGAGTTCTGACGTTCCGATTTACGACGCAATTGTAAGGAACCAATTGTATTACAAGTCCAAGGACTGCCTATAACTCAATTGAGTAAACGCAATCAAAAAGCTCACCCTTTTTGCCTGTCAAGAGAAGGCTTATGTGCATGGAAGAATCCCTGCCTCCTTCCCTTCTAGACTCTTCTATACCACTTTTGGGAAGTTTAATGTGGCATTCTCTACTTCCTCTCCTCTTCCTCCCCTATTCCAAGAACAGCTTTGTTCTGGCTGGAAGTGGAGGTGCTGGAATACCAGAAGGCTGTTCTTGCAGTATTTTTGCCCTGATCTAGAAGCAGGATGCATCCGATGAAGTGAGCTGTAGCTCACGAAAGCTTATGCTCAAATAAATTTGTTAGTCTCTAAGGTGCCACAAGTACTCCTTTTCTTTCTACAGTACTGAGTAACTTTTCAAATGCATAATGCTGTATTCTTTAAACACAAACACAGATACAAGCACATAGGCATAGACATTAGTGAACTAAACATTTCTCCAATGTAACCTTTCCATGGTGAGGCTGAATCTGATTGATTAGAAAATACTTCTGGCTTCCTGGGCCTTTAAAATCCATAGAAATTACCCCAAATATGTTAGGAACATTAAAGTGTTTTATACAGAAACAAATGTGTATATCAATATCTGGATACTAGGCAACTTTGCAGTGCAAAAATTGGCTGATTGTGTGTCTAACTGGCCATTTGCAAGTCCTTGTTGAATGTAGGATTTGCCTATGAACAAGGATATATTTCTAGAGCCCTACTAAAAATTTGACCATGTAATAATATTTAAATTTGAATGGACTAATTTTATTCTGATATTTTATCTTTATTTTCATACATGTAAATGGAATGTGTT